AAACCAACAGTAATTTATCTTAATGTAATTAAGAAATATTGCCTATAATAGCCTAATAATAATAATTTTTAAAAAATTAAGTTAAACTTAATGGTTTTTTTTCTTCCTAGATTACAGAGATGCATTGCCTAAAATACACAATGACAGTAAGCATATCTGTATGCTTAACTAAATATATAAAATATATCTTATTATCTTTTGCTGATTTAATACAATCTAGATTTTGTAATTTCCTCCTCTTGATTTAGTAGATTTGCAATCAGTGCTTTGATTGGATGAAAATAAAACCTTGTCTGTGATTGGCTGCTGATGAGGTTCCTTTACATACAACTTGGGTTGTGAGCGCAGAGACAGAGCTGAGAGCGAGCAGAGACAGAGCTGCGAGCGAGCAGAGACAGAGCTGCGAGCGAGCAGAGACAGAGCTGCGAGCGAGCAGAGGCAAAGCTGAGAGCAGGGAGTCGAGCACAAGCAGGAAGAGAGTTGAGCAAGCAGAGAGGGAGCCGCATGAGCGTGTGTGTGGTTTGAACGCACTCGGATCAAATTATTCTTTGTTTATATTTATATCTGYGCTCAAGCTGGTGGCACAAATGTAATGCCATATATCTGCAGCAAAGTGTTGATTTCATCCAGGAGGTGGGTGCTTGACAGAAAATGTTTTGTTTACGTTTGTTTATTTGTTTGTTTCCAGATGAGCCCAGTCAACATTTTAACTTCCAGAGTCAGCTGATGGTTCCTAATCAAGCCCTGAATGCTGACTCGTCTCCGGAGACGTCTCCCATCAGACCTCTGCCGCGCTCAGCGTCTTCAGCTAACTTACAGTCAGCAAGTAAGCTGATCCTCAGCTCCAAGCTGGTGTACAGCAGGAGGCTGGAGCTGCCCCACGGGGTGGAGGTCACCAGAGCTACGCCCTCTGCAGGTGGGAGGAAAAACACCACATCATGACGAACAGGATCCAAACCTGGATGTTAAAGACGGTTCTGTTCTCTGATAGGTCACCTGAGCTCCTCCTCCATCTACCCCGTGTGCCTCGCTCCCTACCTGATCGTCACCACCTGCTCCGACTCCTACGTGAGGTTCTGGCGCTGCTCCGTGGAGGGAGACGACGGCGGTAACGAGGAGAACCAGGACAGCCGGGCGTACCGCTGGGAGCCCTGGGTTCTGATGAACGAGGAGGAGGACAACAACAGTTCTGTGTGCGTGTCGGGTCGACCCGTCGCTGTGTCCTGCTCCTACATCGGCAGGCTGGCTGTGGCCTTCAAACAGCCTCGCCACGGACAGGTAGGAGGGGCTTATCAGAGCGCAGCAGCTTCTTTTGATCAACAACCTTTCATTTGTTACACAGGAAATAGATCTCCTTCTCTGTGAACCCTGTAAGGATGGAAACAGATTTCAGCAAATCAATAGATTTTATGTAAAGTAGAGAGAATCTGTTCGTTCCACAGAGAAAACTCTGTTTTTACCTTAAAACCTGGAATTTCTTTATATCCATCCATCCCTCCATCCATCCATCATCATCCATCCATCATACATCCATCCATCCATCATCATCCATCCGTCATCCATCCATCCATCCATCCATCATACATCCATCCATCATACATCCATCCATCATCATCCATCATCCATCCATCATCCAACCATCCATCCATCCTCATCCATCCATCCATCCATTCATCATCTATACTCACTTCTTCTGCTAATTTCTTTATATTTTAATTAAAACAAATTAAATAATTCTTGCTTCAGATGAATAAAATTCTAAACTTGTTCTAAATAACTCCAAAAATAAAAAACCTAAAAAGGTCAAACATCTGCAGCTCCAGGTGTCCAACACTCTTTAAATCTAACTCAACCAGAGATTCAGAGCTGGACTGAGGTCTGGGCTTTGACTGGACCATTCCAGAACCATCATCTTGCTTCAGCTCTGTCCCAGTCTCAGACATCTGGGACAGTCCTTTAACTCTGACCACTCCTCCAGTCCCTGTTGATGGAGCATGATGCTGCCACCACCGTGCTTCACTGCAGGGATGGACTTCTCAGCATGAGGAGAACCAGACCTGGTGTCCTTGATGCTTGGTCTTTTAAATGTTTACCAGTCTTTTGTCTGTATTTTTATTATTTTTTGAGCCCAGCAGCATTCTGTGTGAGCTCTGGTGCCGTCACCACATTAACCCTGGTGTTCTCTCTAGATTTGACATGTTCTCAGAAATGACTGTAAGGACGTGTCCCTTGTGTCCTCAGCTGCATGGCTCTGTAGAGGACTTCTCCATGAATGTGTCCATCTATGAGTGTGAGTCCACCGGTGGCTCTGAGTGGGTTCTGGAGCAAACTGTCCACCTGGACGACTTCGTCAGACCCTCATCGACTCTGGATCCAAGAGTCAGCGTGGATTCCAACCTGTTTGTGTACAGCAGGTCAGAACGCAGACTGTCTTTGTTTGTTTGTTTTCTCTTGTTTCTACTTGCCGTTGACGTCAGGACGATCCCTTCCTTTCAGGTCTGACCTGTACATGAGCAGAGACCACAGCTCCCCCAACATTAAGCACTTCATCCACCTGGACTGGCTGTCCAAAGAGGACGGGTCCCACATCCTCACCGTCGGGGTGGGCTCCAACATCCTCATGTACGGACGCATCTCAGGGGTGGTCAGTGAGCAGACCAGCAGCAAGGAGGGCATGGCTGTCATCACTCTCCCTCTAGGGGGCAGCATCAAACAGGGGATCCGGTCCCGCTGGGTCCTGCTGCGCTCCATAGACCTGCTGTCGTCCGTGGATGGAACGCCGTCGCTGCCGGTGTCCCTGTCCTGGGTGAGGGATGGAATCCTGGTGGTGGGCATGGACTGTGAGATGCATGTGTACGCCCAGTGGCACCAGGACAAGAAGCCCGGCGAGGGAGAAGAGGGCAACCTGTCGTCTGCAGACATCGCTGGAGGTCAAACCACCGGCTCCTCCTCGGTCCTCGAGGGGAGAGCCCGGTCCAAGAGTGTGTTCGAAGGCAGCGCTGGGATGGACGAAGCCCTCCGAGCCCCCGCAGGACTACAAGAAGGGGGACTGTTTGAAGCYGCTCACTCCCTGTCCCCGACGCTGCCGCAGTACCATCCAACCCAGCTGCTGGAGCTCATGGACCTGGGCCGGGTCCGCCGGGCCAAGGTGGGTCTGGTTCTCTTCACTTTAATTCAGTAATACTTTGTTAATGAAATGTTGTTGTAACTCATATTATTGTTACAGATACTGAGGACAGGAAGGATATCCTTCATGTTACTGTAGTTCGTTAATCGATCTGGTTCCACAATTTTTATTTTATTTCAACAATTCAAATATAGAATTATTCAGCTCATTTAGGTATTTCAGCTATTTGTACTTTTTCAGCTTTTTAGGGGCAGATACAATAAGATTTTTTCTTCTTCTTTCGTTTAATTTATTATTTGTATTTTTGTTCTTTGTTGTTTTTTATATTTTTAATAAACGAATGAATAAACTTAAACCTAAACTTAAACTTATTTCACTTTTTCTGCCACTTTTTTGGCATTGAAAATGAATGGAGCAGTTTTCAACATCCCTAAAATTCTTCAAAATGTCTAAATCTTTACAGAACCTACATTTTATTCTGGTTCGGCTCCTTTTTACTTTATTATGCTTCCTTATGCTAATTTAAGATTCTAGCTGTTTTACTACACATATTAGCTGTTTTAGCTGGTATACAAAAAATTATGCTTTTTTGTAATTTACACTTTTTTCCTGCTAATTTTCCATGTTTTTGCACAGCTTTCACCATCTAGGTTATAATTTCATCTTGGGGCTGCTACCTTTAGCTTGTTTTTAGGTTAATTTTAGCTTTTTTAGCAACCTGAGTAGTTGGTTCTAAAGCTTTTCTTTTGTATWAAAGAGATTGATACACAGAATAATATTTAGTAGTCTGCAGTTAGAGGTGCCTCAGGGCTCACTCCTCGTCCTCAGATATTATTTTGTATGGTTGTGTTTCAGGAGTAGAGGTTTGTAGCTGTTCGTTGGTCAGTGTTGGCAACTAGACAGCAACGTTTTGTCCTGAACCATTTTTAACTTTTTCTCTTACTTAAATGAAACCGTTTTACTAAATGGTTTTTGATTTTTCAAAACAAAAAAAAAAAACAATCTTAAACTGTTTGAGACTCTAAATATGTCTCATAAACTGGTAAAAATTGTATATATTTCCAGGAGTGGTGGTCCATGCTTCTTAGGTAGTTTAAAGTCACAGTTTGTATGTTTAAAGCTGTAAAAGTCTGGATCTTAGAAAGTGAAAAGGTTTAAAAACCCTGAGTCATGTTTATGTACAGGCCATCCTCGCTCACCTGGTGAAATGCATCGCTGGAGAGGTAGCCGTGGTGAGAGACATGGAGGCGGGTGAGGGTGGATCAAGGAGACATCTTTCCCGGACAATCAGTGTGACTGGCAGCACGGCGAAGGACACTATGGTGGCCGGCCGCGACGGGGGCAGGGACTACACTGAGATCAACTCTATCCCTCCTCTTCCTCTCTACGCTCTCATGTTGGCCGACCTGGACACCTCCTACAAGGGAGCAGAAGAGACCACTAAGGTCCCCAAGGTGTCTGATGGTGACGCAACCCACAAGTCCTCAGAGGACCAGTACGCCGATCTCTTCCAGGTAGGAACAGTTAATAGATCATTGATTGGTACAGGGGAACAGTTAATGGATCATTGATTGGTACAGGGGAACAGTTAATGGGTCATTTATTGGTACAGGGGAACAGTTAATGGATCATTGATTGGTACAGGGGAACAGTTAATGGGTCATTGATTGGTACAGGAGGAACAGTTAATGGGTCATTGATTGGTACAGGGGAACAGTTAATGGGTCTGATTGGTACAGGGGAACAGTTAATGGGTCATTTATTAGTACAGGGGAACAGTTAATGGATCATTTATTGGTACAGGGGAACAGTTAATGGATCATTGATTGGTACAGGGGAACAGTTAATGGGTCATTGATTGGTACAGGAGGAACAGTTAATGGATCATTGATTGGTACAAGATGAACAGTTAATGGGTCATTGATTGGTACAGGGGAACAGTTAATGGGTCATTGATTGGTACAGGAGGAACAGTTAATGGGTCATTGATTGGTACAGGGGAACAGTTAATGGGTCTGATTGGTACAGGGGAACAGTTAATGGGTCTGATTGGTACAGGGGAACAGTTAATGGGTCATTGATTGGTACAGGAGGAACAGTTAATGGGTCATTGATTGGTACAGGGGAACAGTTAATGGGTCTGATTGGTACAGGAGGAACAGTTAATGGGTC